GATTTATTTGTGCATATAGAACTGGGGTACAGGCCAGAGCAGAGGCAGTGAGAGTATTCACCAGAGACAGAGTGGGGAGCAGACAGGCAGATGGATGAAGTATACTGCTGAGGGGAGCAGCGGCTGGGTCAGGAGAGGTCTGCCACTCCATGTGGTCACCTCTGGGGCAGGGACTGAACTCATGCTGAAGTGGTTTAGCTTCTTATTGCTGTGCTTTACCCCAGTGCGCCACAGGGAGGGGCCGACCTCTGCTTCTTGCTGATGGCTGCCTTTAGGTCTTTATCACATGACTACTTGCTTCCTCAAAGTCAACAAGGAAGAGTCTGCTTGTCATCCAGGCATTAACATCCTTTGTTACATAATCACTAACTTAACATTCTCACACCCTTGCCATGTTCCATTGGTGAAAAGTAAGTCAGTAGTTACACTCAAAATAAGAGATTATACACGGGGTGAATGCCACTGAAATGTTATCATGGCAGCCTGTCCTCAATCAGTTTTCACTTTCTACTACCAAATATTGTGAGTGTCCCCTTCATATAGCAAACACTATGCTGAAACCTGAAATGATTCTATCAGTCACAATACTGGGAATGAAAGTTGATGTGTTAGTGCCTGAAGAAAAATTGATGGAAAACAGTTGATTGGAGGAACAATTAGTAGAATCTGGTTTCCAGATCAGAAGACACTGGAAACCAAGATATAGAAAGAAACAAAAAGATGGTGAATTTTTGCATTCAAATCTAGAGGAGAAAGATCAAATTGTTATTGTATTTGTTTTCAATAAAAAGCAGATTCTACTTTATGACAAAGTAGAATGTTATTTTCTAACAATACAAATATATTTATCATCACATATCTAGTTGTTTATGATTGTATTTGACATATAACAAATAATGCCTCCTTTTAACATATGAATGCACACAAATCTTTACTATTTCATATAATTTATGCATTTATATTTAATTTTAATTTTGACATACAGACACTAATTATTGCTCTATGGAGAGAATATACTGTCAAGTTAATTAAAATAAAAAAAATAATATAGATCTGTTATCTGTCTTTTTATGGATTATAAATTAATTATTAACCCTCTTTGAACAAAATGCAAGTTTTAAGAAATTAATGCCAACTTTCCATAATACTTTAACCTCTAACTCTGGGTTAAAGGCAGAATTAGGCCATGGAGGTTAATGCATTTTCACTGTACTGTTGAATTAAAGGGTGTGCTTGAGTAGTCAAGGTCCCCGATAGTGTTTGAAAGAAGCAATTAAAGGTGGGTGTTTGATGATGTCAAACAAACTTTGAGCCCTCTGACAGGCTTCTGAGTAGTCTCTCTGAGATGCAAGCTCTTGGGAGCTTGTCTGCAGCCAGCTACACAAAGAGAAAAGTAGGTGATGGAGTACACTCACACATTAACCGTTTTTTAAAGCACTTGGTTAAGGATAAAAGGAGACAGACTGAAAAGATATGAAACACTCATGACCAGAAAAGACATTTAAAGTTAAAAGAATAAAAATGAATGTGGTGATGATGATGGTGATAGAAGACTAAGTTTTAACAATGATATTTGGGCTTTTGATATTGCTTTTGATAAAGTCCAAAATGAAAACGTTGTTCTTTTTCTGTAAGATAACTCTATTTAAAGGGAGATAAAAATGTGTTTTACACTACTTTAGTACAGTCCAGATAGGGCTTTATGGGTCATATTCCTTTGTGTCTCACTCTTTCTTTTTAAGGTATTTAATGTATGGGGGTGGGGTGGATATCACCATGAACACTATGTTCTGGTAGTCCAGCTAATTGGTAACTGAATATATCTTTTGAGAAGTAGAGTATTCCAATACTCATTAAAACATACCTACCACAGCTAATGTCAGACTTACATCTCTACACAATGACAAGGAGATGCAGTTAAGAAGCATTACCTACATACTCTTCTTTTAGCATCTGCACATAATAACAAGTGCTACATTGTAGTTCAACAGCTATAATAAAATGCAAATTCTTTACTCTTTCACAGACCATATTCAAATGAACATCCCATTAAAATCCAACCTTGGCTCATTATATTTAGTTTGTGAGCGATGCTTCTTAACTGCTAAGATTTCTAATGACTGTAATGTGTGCACAGCCACATCTGAAAGAATGGTTCTTTCTACAAGGCTATCCCTCATCAGCTCTCTGTATAATGGAAGACAATTGTGTGGAGATATTATGGCCCCGAATGATGTGCCAGAGCAATTTGAAACTTAAGTTAAACTGCATAATGACATTTAAAATCAATTAAAATAGTGGAGGCAGTAGCATGCATTTGCTTATGATTTACCTGAGAATCAGTTGTGGAAGGTTGAGTTATCAGTATTCTTAAATTTTGAACCCAGCAGATACTGTATTCCAGAAACTCCCATATTTCATCAACAGTTAAATTCATTCATTACAAAATGTTAATTCTGCATCTTCAGACTTGTTTTATTCTATGTATTCCTCGGTGTCTCTTCCCATTCTTACTTTGAGTTCATCCCTCAAGTAATGTGAATGAATACTGTTTACAACGTAAGCTCTCAGAATTCATAGAGAGGACTTTTGAGTTACATCTTTTACTGATTTTATGGGTTTTATAAAGATATAAACCCAGAAAATTCTGCCTCTTACATTTATAAAATAGTACTCTCAATTATATTAACAATTTCTAAAAGTCTTTGTCAGTGTCAGTGTGTAAAACAAAGCAACTTAAGTGATCAATGAAATGGCAGCTTTTAAGTGTGCTTAAAAAAGAACTGTATGTTAAATTATTTCTCTAGTAGGTCCTTTTCAGCTCCAACTTGCAATGATTTCATTGGCATTTTTTGTTGTTGTTGTATTTTTTTTTAATGAGACAGTTTTATTTCATTCACTATCACACTGCTGCAATTTAACATGTGAGTTCCAGTCTTTTTAAAGGAAAATAATTTAGATTTCCTTTAAACATTTTTTTCTTCATATTTCACCATTTTACTTAAAAAAGAGGAGTAGTTGGTCCACTGTTATTTCAGTGTTTATTTATTTCTGGGTGCATTTAATCAGAATTCAGATGAATTCTGAAAAATTCTGTCCTGAAAAGTAGAGTTGTGAAGTATCATCATAAGCTCTAGTTAAAAGTTCTACATGGAGGGAAGAATGAAAACAAATTTTAGCAAATAGTATTTAATAATAGAAATAGGATTTTATATATCATTGCATCAGTATCATGAATAATAGAACACTATGAGTTTAATATTTTATGATGCTTGAACTTGACATTAATGTACCATTTGGACAGCCAAATGATATGTTGCATTTTAAGAAATTAAATTTTGTATGGTTGAGATTGATTAATTATTCTACATATTAATTAAAGTGATTGAATTCTCTTGTTTTTATGCACACTAGATTTCTGATACCGGCACTTATACCTGTGTGGCAACTAGTTCAAGTGGGGAGACTTCCTGGAGCGCTGTGCTAGATGTGACAGGTGAGCTCTTTGTGAATTATCCCTTTAGAAGAACTCTTAAGGCCATTTCGGTGATTAGTTCACTATCAAGTCACAAATTAGGGAAGACTAAGATTATAAATTATTGAATGTAATGTAAGATCTCTTTTATGCCTCTTAATTCTGTCCTTGGCACATAGCATTCCTTATGTGAAATTTGATATATTTGTCCTTGAAAACCTTACTATTTAATTTTCTCTGTCTAGAGAGCATGGTTTATGAAAGTTAGCCTTTACTAACCCACAGGGAAAGCAAATATTCACTAATATAGTTTTAATTCATTAAGATGAATTTTTTCCATCTGTCTCCCTTTCATTGACTATTGTACTTCTTTTATAAATTGTTGTCAATTTATAAAATCAAAAATTAATCCTTTTCTGTTTGTCCTCTGTAGAATCTGGAGCAACAATCAGTAAAAATTATGATTTAAATGAATTGCCAGGGCCACCATCCAAACCACAGGTCACTGATGTTACTAAGAACAGTGTCACCTTGTCCTGGCAACCAGGTACGCCTGGTATGCTTCCAGCAAGTTCATATATCATTGAAGCTTTCAGGTATGGGACTGTTTTGTTTCTTCTCCATTGGGCTTTTTGCTTTAGCTCCTGTATCTCAAAATTCTATATGAGCAATCCTGCTCTTTTGTTTTAAGGAGTTGTCTAATCAGTGCATTTTAAGAATTTGTGTGTTATGTCTGACTTGACTCAAAATCTTTAGGGGTAGATTTTCATTTATAACTTAATTATAAGATTAAGTAGGCATTACCTATACATAAGTCTCTAGAGATCTAGTTAATGACATAATCATTGAATACTTTTTTTTTTATTGTCACCATTATAGGGACTTAAGATGATAATTTTGGCATTAGTGTTTGGTAAAGAAAGCATAAGTACTTTATAAAATTATGTGACCTTTTATTGAGGCATGTAATCCTGAAAATTTGTTCCTAATAAATAAAACTGAATTCAAAACAATTCCATTGTTTTATTTTATATATCTGAATTCATCTACTGGGAAGTTCTAAGATAACATTAAAAGCATGATTCCATGCTTATCTGGTTACTGAAAAGAAAATATATGTCCATTTGCTCTTTGAACTAATTGTCAGTAATGTGAAGATAGAAGTATAATTAAGCTAGTATCATAAAACAGTCTTATGAAAATTTGATACAATACTTATGAGTAGGGAAATATAGCTTGATATTCACTTTTCATGTGCTCCTATTGCCATTGTGAAGATAGTGATAGTGACTGTAATTTTTAAGCATCAGGACAAATTGACAGCTTCATTTTAAGCTTTCCCTAATCTGTAGTAGTTTTCAAACCTCAAAACCCTATTCTATAATTTTCATTCTTTAATGTAAAAGGACTTGAAAATAAACATACAGCCTTAAAAAATCACATTTTCTCCTCATTCTGAACAAATGAAACATTGGACCTTAGACTAAAATACTCTAAACGTGTATCCTATCTGTGGCTGGCTGTTAAGTGTTACACATGCAGAGTCAGAGATTTCACCATTCTGAGATGAGAAATCACAACAATACTGTGTAATGTACAATTTTATTAAAAATGTGACCAAGGGAAAATATTCATTACATGCTTCCTTTCTTCTTTTACAGATATGTAGTTTAGAAGGCTCTATTATAATATTGCATGTGGAATTGATGCAAAAGAAAACACAACTTGTAACAGGAAAATGTATTGGCATAATTTACTCTGTAGTCCATTTATTCTTTCTACAGGTTAATTCTTTTCAAGGTATATATATATATACATTTACGAGGACCATATTTATTGTATAAACTTGATGTTGTGATCTTGGCCCCTGTTCCTTTTACAGGTATTCATTTAGTGGGCTGCTGTGCATTAGCAAAGGGCTGTCACATCTCCTGGGCTGAGTTTAATTTTGTTGTGCATGGCACTCCGTTAGGTGGGCTCGGCTTTGTTGTTGAATAAACTGAAATCATCCAATGTTTCATTTATTGGGCTGAACACCTCAAGTTTTGTCTGTGTGTGTGTTTAATTTCCAGCCATTAACCTTTGTCATTGATACCCAACTCCATGTCCAATGCATTTTTGACTGGACCTTACAGTCATTTCTGTTCACCTTTCAGCCAATCGGTGAGCAATAGCTGGCAGACAGTGGCGAACCACGTAAAGACCTCCCTCTACACAGTCAGAGGACTGCGGCCCAATACGATCTATTTATTCATGGTCAGAGCTATCAACCCCCAAGGTCTCAGTGACCCAAGCCCTATGTCAGATCCAGTCCGCACACAAGGTAAATGCTGATTCTGGAAGTAAGCACTAAAACAACTCTTCAAGAACAAAGGGATTGTATAAGCAAAGATACAACTGTGTCTG